GCTCCGGAGCCGCTGGCGGATGTGGTTGCGCTGGTGCTGAGTCAGCGCCGCGATGTCCCCGAAGGTCCGGGAGCAGTCAGGGCAGGAGAAGAGCTTCTCGCGCATGTGGCCGATGTGGTGGCGCGCCAGGTCCGCCGCGTCCCGGCAAAGCTCCCCGCACCCGGGGCACGGCGCAGGGGCCCCCCCAGGCTCTCGGCGCGGGGGCGGGGGCGAGAGGTCTGCAAACGTCCCCTCTAAGAGCTCCTGGGGTCGGCTCCCCCTGTCCTCGACCTCTCCGGGCACCGGGGATCCTACCATCGTGGGCGGCCAGCATGACGCTGGTGCTGTCAGTCGGTCTCCAAAGCTTTCCCCACATCCATCGCAGATGAGGCCACATTGGTCAGGGCTTGATGGGCTTCCAGGTTGGGCCTGCCGGGCTTCCCCAGATGCCACAAGAGCCCCTGCTTGCCCTCTCTCCAAGGGGCAAGACTTGGGAGCGTCCAGATGTTGTGTCAACGTTGAGTGGTCTCCAAAGGTCTCCCCGCATGCATTGCAAATGAGACTGGATTGGATCTTTGGGGCTTGGTCGGGCCCCAAGGGACTATCCGATTGGGCCTGGCTGGACCCCAATGGGCTCTCTGTCTGGGGACCTGGTGTGGCCTGGCAAGACTCGTGAATGTCCAGGTGTTGCGTCAACGTTGAGTGGTCTCCACCGCTCCCTCCGTCACTGGGCTGGAGGTCGTGGCCTTCCCGTGACCTCCGGGGACCCCTTGACTGGATCTTCTGGACCTCGCTGACCACACAGGGACCTCCCGGTTGGATCTGGCTGGACTCCACGGCATCGCCGGGTAGGATCTCCTGGACTTCCCCCGACCCCTGGACAGCCCCAGGTGGGATCTCCCGGTCCCGATCGGGGCCCGGCCTCTCCCGGCAATCCTGGTGGGTATCCAGGTGCCGTGTCAACGCCACCTGGTCCCCAAAGCTCTGCCCGCACCCGCCACAAATGAGCCCAGCTGGCGCCTCGTCGTCCTCCTCCTCCACCGCCTCACCGTGCTGCCCACGGCGGTGCTGGCGCAGCTCCTCAGGCCGGGCAAAGCGGTCGCCACAGGACCGGCAGACGTGGGGCCGCTCCTCCATGTGGATGCGCTCGTGGGTGATGAGGTTGGAGCTCTGGGAGAAGCGCTTGCCGCACTCGCGGCACCGGTACGGTTTCTCGCCCGTGTGTGTGCGGCGGTGCTGGACCAGGTGGGAGCTGCGCACAAAGCTCTTCCCGCAGTCGGGGCACTGGTAGGGCTTCTCCCCCGTGTGGATGCGCTGGTGCCGGATGAGGGTGGAGCTCATGCCGAAGGCCTTGCCGCAGTCCCCGCAGCGGTATGGCTTCTCCCCGCGGTGGATGCGGAGGTGCAGGGTGAGGTTGGAGGCCAGGCTGAAGCTCTGTCCACATTCGGCACAGGCGTGGGGCCGGGCCTCCGTGTGGCTGCGCTGGTGCCGGGCCAGAGCCGAGCTGAGCCCGAAGGTCTTGCGGCAGGGGGGGCACTGGTAGGGCTCCACCCCCATGTGCAGGCGCTGGTGCTTGACCAGCGTGGCGCTGTGCCCAAAGGACTTGCGGCACGTGGGGCACTCGTACGGCTTCTCGCCCGTGTGCGTGCGCTGGTGCTGGATGAGCTCCGAGCTCTGGATGAAGGTCTTGCCGCAGTCGCCACAGCGGAAGGGTTTCTCGCCGGCGTGGATCTTGCGGTGCTTCACCAGATTAGCACTCTGTGTAAAGCCCTTGCCGCAGGTCGGGCACTTGAAGGGCCGCTCGCCCGAGTGTGTGGCCTGGTGCTGCAGCAGGTCCGAGCTGCGGTAGAAGCTCTTGGGGCAGGCGGCGCAGCGGTACGGCTTCTCGCCCGTGTGCGACCGCTGGTGCTGGTGAGGGGGGGAGATGTTCAGGTAGAGAATCCAGGCTCCCAGCGCCCCTGCTCCTGCCCCCCTGCACCCCAGAGAACCCAGGGGTCCGGGCTCCCTGCCCCCACCCCAGAGAACCCAGACATCTGGGCTCCCAGCACCACTGGTCTCACCCCACTCCCACCCCACAGAACCCAGGCATCCAGACTCCCAGCCCCACTGCTCCCCCCCAGATAACCTCAGTGCTGGGTCCTACGGATGTGACCCACACTCTCCGGGAAAGGCTGGCGGGTTGGGAGCCTGGCTCACCTGGAAGAGGCGGGGGTCAAAAGCCTGGACACCTGGGTCCCCCACAGGCCAGAGTGGAGCCCGCATGCCTGGGACCCCCCCGGCCCAGCCCTACCTTGATGAGGTTGGTGCTCTGGCTGAAGGCCTTGCCGCAGTCACGGCACTGGTAGGGCTTCTCACCGGTGTGGGTGCGCAGGTGCTGGGCCAGGTTGGAGCTCCAGCTGAAGGCCTTGGCGCAATGGGCGCAGCGGTACGGCTTCTCGCCCGTGTGCGTGCGCCGGTGCTGGACCAGGTGCGAGCTCTGTGTGAAGCCCTTGCCGCAGTCGGGGCAGGTGTTGGGGCGCTCGCCCGTGTGCACCCTCCGGTGCCGCTGCAGCTTCGACCACTGCCCAAAGGCCTTGCCGCAGTCCCCGCACGCGAAGGGGCGCTCTCCCGGGCCCCGCCGTGACCCGGCGCCCGGGGCTGGGGGGGTGGGGGCGGCCACTGCAGGCCATGGCTCTGCAAGGGAGACAGGCACAGTCAGGGAGAGACGGAGGGAGACAAGGACAGACAGAGAGGCACACCTAATAGACGGAGACACATGGAGACAGACAGATAGGGAGCCTCTACACAAGCATTTACTGCGGAGTAAAGTGCTGCAGGTAGTTACCGAAGAGCAAATTGCTGCAGAGTAAGCGGGGATAAGCTGGCATCTACACGTGCCTGTGTTAAAGTGTGTTAATGCCATGTCTGGACTGGCACAGGACTCAGGTTAGTCCCACATCAGTCCACACACACTACTGGGTTACTGCACAGTAAGGCATCTACACGTGTGTTACTGTGCAGTAACAACTTGAGTGTCAATTTGATCCCTGTGTGATGCAGGGTTCAAACTGACACCCATGTTGGTGTAAGTTGTCCAAGGCCATGCACAGTACGGACGTGCGTGTGGTTGCACGCCTGCGCTGCGCGGTCGTTCTCGGTTACCAAAATTAAAGCGCAGTAAGTGCGGATACACCTGCAGATGTGGAATAGGTGGATGGAGACGGAGGTGCAGAGAGACGGGCGGACGGACGTGTTGCGGGGGAGACGCAGACAGACGGGTGGACAGATGCATCGAGACAGTGACATCGAATAGACAGACACCCAGAGAGGGACGGACAGACAGATGCAGAGAGAGACACACGCAGGCGGAGACAGAGACGGACACGCTGCAGACGGGGGGACGCCTAACGGACGGACACAGAGCAAGAGAGACGGCCGGGCAGACAGCGGGTGTGGGTGCGGGTGCAGACAGACAGAGGGCTCGGGCGGCGCACAGACCTAAACGCGCACGGGGAGGCGCGCGGGCGGGCAGACACGGACAGACAGAGCAGGCGGGACCCCCACCCCTTCCTTACCTGTGCCGGGGGCTCGGGCGTCCTTGTCCCCCGGCTCCATGCCGGCGGCTCGGGCCTGGACAACCTGGGGGGCGAATGGAGCGTGACCGCCGGGAAAGACCCCCGCCCCGGGCCCCGCACAGCCCGGGCCCCGCTCCCAGCCCCGGCGGGACGCCGGC